AATAATAATAATAATAATATTTTCTTTCCATCAATATCTGTTAACTATATATGTTAAGATTGAATTAAAGTGATTGAATTGTATTTTATATTGCAATACTTTAGAAATATCCAAATATTTATGCACGATAATTATATTCATAAGTTATTGAAAGAAAGTATATATAAGCTGATTGAAAGAAGATAAATTGCAAGTAGATTTACTTTCGTGCGATGTTTAATTGTCATTTTCACTGATGGTTGATCAGAGAGAAGCAGATATCGCTATAGCTATGTCGCAATACTATAAATTGTAATAATTCGTAACGTTGGCGAAACATATTCAGGCGAAGGCATCACGGCATTGCAAATTCTGTTTTTCCCAGGAGAAGTGAAGGGCGATGGAGAGGTTTTTGTTCGACGTAGTGACTCGCCTTTCTAAAGTACATTTGAGCTCAGCGAGGCGTGGTTTAAAGCCGCTTCTGTTTTTCTTCACAGTTGACCATCAATCGTAATCGTTACTGCAAATTTATAATTGTCCTAATTTAGAAATTTGGATACGAACCACTCTCCTTCGCCGAAAATTAATGATCGAATCCATCGATTTTTGAAGACATTTAAAAATATTTAAAGGCTTGCAACAGTAAAGTTAAAAGCCATTCGAAGAAATGGACACTATAAGGTATAATTACAAACGCGAACCTGTTTTCTAACATGACAAGTTACAATTTTCAACTCGTGATCACAAGTAATTCGCGACATTATTTCTGAGCGTAATTTATTAATAGTAAAATCAATTAAACACCCGATCGACTTTTATATCAACTTTCATATCCATTCATCAAAATAATTATGTGTTGAAATCGACATATCCCTTCGTAAAAGTCTCAAGATCCTGCGTGTGATTTGTTTATCGAACAATATACGTAGAAAGCGTATCGTTGAAAATTACAGTCAGTCGATGCTCGGAGCATTGGAGGATTCTGTTTTCAAGTTTCGATTTTAAATTAAATATAAGAGTTCATTGGCCGATACAAATTATACGAG